AAATTACTTTCAGCAAGTTCAGATTGTGGGAAATAATACTTTTCCTCTAAGCTCATATTATAAAGCTTGTGTGAGACTGTTACACACTGACTTGAGAATAGTCTGAGCATGATCTCATCAGTTGGAACAGACTATGAAATGAAACGCGAAGGCCCCCCTCCCCTTGGAAAGGTCTGTTTTATAGATTTTTACATTACACAGATTCCTCGAACTGGAGGATACTAGCAGAAGAGCCACCAAGGAAATGAGAAGAAAGCGACGGGGTTGAAATCCTGGCGCGTGCGCACCAGTGAAGGGGGTGTTTGCCTGGGGGGAGGCGCGTGTGAGTGTGTGAGTGTGTGTGAGTGTGTGTGTGTGAGTGTGTGTGTCCTGTCCAAGCTGAGGAGGGACCCTCAGGAAAGCCGCGCCTCTGGCCGCACCACTGGACAGGCAGCCATGACCCTGAGCACCAGTGCCAACAGGACAGTGGGAAGCATCCCTGTCCTAGGATGTTTTTCCTGGAGGTGAAGCCTCCCTCCCCTCGGGCCGGTGAAGTCTCGGCGCAGGACTGTGAGCTTCCCTCCCTGCTGGCCAGCGGGTCCACACCAGGCCCACTCAATCGGAGAATCTCCCACAAACATTTTTCATCAGTGACTCACAACTTCAAGAAAGTGTATTTTTATATAAAATCATCTTTCAATTGTACTTTAAAGACCTAAACCATTTTCCTAGAATACTGTCCAAACAAGTTAATCAGGCACAGATCCGGTGAATTTTGTGGCCTGGTTCTTATCAGGTTTTCAAACAATTTGATACTTTTGTAGCTAGAACCAAAGGTTTTTGGAGGTTTGGGAGCATTTTCAGATGCCAGTTCTTGACACTCAGCTGGCTAAGGAATGACATTTCTTGAGTCTTGTTGGTAGGTAGAAACCTATTAATTAACATTATGGCAAAATAACTGATTTTAAGTGGAGTGAGAAGGCACTTCTGTAGAGCCAGATTTTCAATACATTTAAAATAGGATTCAGAAAGGATACAGCAGGAAAACATTCAATAAAAACAGTAAGAACAAGAGCAGGTGCTAAAATTTGTTTCCCAAGACTGAACTCTCACCAGAAGACCCCCTGGGAGGAGCATTCTGCACATCTTTTGTGAATGAGCCCTTTGGGCTTCTTCTGGGTTCTGGCTTTGTGGCAGACTAGCAGAAAGCTCATGTCTTGAGCAAGACAGATTTGAGTACATTCTGCAACTTTGGCCGTGTAAGATGTGATCATTTTTAAGGTTGACGAGCATAGCTCACTATGAAATGAAGCAAGTAACTTGGCATTTGTGCATCATGAGTCAATTTTGACATCAGCCCGGATTGGGAATTGACTGGAAGGTTTGGAGCTGGGCTGTGGCTCCGCTTCAGCATGTCAATCCAGAGGCATGCATGAGCAATACTTCCCCTTGGGCCCTGGCCATTCGTGTGTGGAGCAGAGAGAGCAGGGGAGGAAAACAGAGAGGCTGCCGTGGATGGCCCAGTGTCCCTTGAGTCAAAAAGCAGTGTGAGGCCTTTGCTTCCCACTGGAGGCCTCGTCCCCCTTGCATGAAGATCGCAGCATCTGCCTGCCTGTTGGCAGTGCCACCTCCACCACGACTCCAGTCCAGGCCCCTCTGGGCAGGCATCTGCACTCTGCCTACCCCAGGTGTTTTCCAGGCCACTTCCCCGGTTATGTAACTTTGATCAAATCCAGATGCTGCGGGATGTTTGATAGAGGAGGTCAAAAGGCACTGGAGAAGAAAAGCATTTCTGTATTCAAGACTCGGGTTTAATTTCCTGTGTGTTCCTGGCCCCGAGGTTGGGACGCAGGAGGGGACGTGCACAAATACTTTTTCAGGACAACTCGAGGCGGTCCTTCCTTCCCCTGTGCTGCTTCACGTTCAGTTGCCGGTTATGTAAGGGTCAGCTGGCTCTGCTCATTTTTCTAGTTTTGTAATTGTGTTCTGATTATAAAAAACTTACATTCATTGTAAGAAATAATCCATAATACCGAAAAATGGAAAGAAAATGTAAAACACTTGTAATCCCACCAAACTGAGTTAAGTACTGTTTCACATTTTGGTATGTTTCTTGTTTTGTTTTTAAAAAATTTTTACAAAATTGGAATCAAGCTCTATATACTGGGATGTAATATCAACACAATATATTTTTATGAATATATTCCTAAGCCATTAAGTATTTTCCTCCCAAATATTGTATTTTTAAAATTTTATTTTTGTGTGGTGCTGAGAATCAAACCCAGGGCCTCGCATATACTGGATTTTGCTCTACCACTGAGCTACACACCCAGCCCCATACAAAAATATTTTGAATGGCTTCTTGGATATATTCTGTTTTGTTAATGGGGCATGAATTAATTTATCATATGTTGATATTTAGTACTTTCTCTTTTCTGTGCTTTTATTTAAAGTCAGCATATACAAATCATTGTACAGCTCTCTTAGGATAAATTTCTAGAGGTATAAGTCAAAGCTTGTGAATGGTTCATATTCCACTTGCTCTCCTGGAGTGCACCATTGCATGACCCTGCCCAGTGTGGACACCTGGTCCACACTAGCGGTCAGTGTGGAGAAGATGCATTTGCCAGAGGAAAAAGAATCTGGACTTCTTCGGCTGCTAGCAGGGGTTCACATCCTTTCCATGTTTAGTGATGATTTTAACTTCCTGTGCATTGCTTACTTATGGTTTTGTTTTGTTTTGTTTTGTTGTACTGGGGATTGAACTCGGGTCCTTGTGCTTACGAGGCAAGTGGCGGAACCACTGAGCTAAATTCCCGGCCCTTACTTATGGTTTTTGTCTGTAAAGGACTTTACACTGTTGGTGTGAAAGAGTCTTTGTGTTAAGAATCTTTTGTAGTAAGGTGCACTGTTGGACCGCCCACTCTAGGAGGCTGAGGCAGGAAGATCACAAGTTCAAGCTGAGGATGTAGCTCAGTACAAAAGACCTGGGTTCAATCCCCAGTGCTACAAAAGGAAAAAAAGAAAGAATATTAAGGTGCATGTTTCAGGAAGACTCAGTAAAGGCAGGTACAGGTACCTTTTCAGCATCACTACTGGATAAGGTATGGGACAACTGTAAATGTCACTGGAGAGGCTTGTAGAAATCTAGAAGATTCTGTGGGGAGTCTGCACAGCACAGCGTGCGGCCCTGCGTGCTGTCTGCAGGCGATGGAGCCGAAAGTGAGGGATGGTTCTGGGTGGAACTTAAGAGAAATTGTGTCCAGCTCAACCATACCCGCACTCCAAAGGACAAGCCCAGCCCTGTAGTCCGACTGCAAACCAACATCCACCAGGCAGCATGAGGATCAAACATGCTAATAAAAATTTCCCCTTTCAATATTACATGGCATCCCCATGATACATGTGATTTGTAGGTTTTTATATAAAAACCTAAAAAAACTCAGAACAAACAAATCCTCTCCTCCTGCCCTTCGTGGCTAGCTGGTCAGTCCCTAATGGTCCTCCATGGTTCTAGAGGGCTCGAGAGCCAGGGCAACTCCTAAGAGGACAGCGCTGGGCACATCACCAAGCTTCTCCCAGCCCAAGAGGTGGCAGTGTGACAAGACTCTTCCTTGAAATCATCCCAGCCTTCACAGTTCATAAAATGAAATTACCAAGTGTGGTTACAGCATAATTTAGGATTTACGCTTCTAGAAATAAGTCCCGAAGATTTATTTCCATTAGCAGAACAAAGGCTAGCGTTGAAAGACCTGCATTATTTATGTTCTGTTGATTACTTCCAAAGCACCCTTTTAGAGAAATGACCATTCCTGAAGCTGACCGGCCTTGCTTCTGAGAGCCGACCAACCTCGCAGGTGTCTCATGGGTCCACTGGTGAAGGGAAGGTGTCTGTGGGTCCTCTCCACGCAGAGGGAAAATTTAAACAAATGTTCTGTTATCATTTGAGTCGACTCATTTGTAGATCTTTCCATTTTTTCAAAGTAGAATTTCCCCTCCTTGAAAAAAAAAAAAGATTTTCTTATTGTGGTTTCCTTAAATGGTATTTGGGCTTCACTACGTAACGTCCACCACCATAAGGCCTACTTGGAGTGGGTTTGCTGGACCTCGTCACTATCACAAAGAAATTCTAGAGGCTTTGAGCATAGTGCAAGGGGAAAAAAAAGACAAGAAGGAACTTCAGGGACAATAGTCAGCTATTTGACCTTGTCGTGAAAAACACTCATATATTCCTAAAGAATATATGAGCTGATGATTGAATTCCAGCTTTTAGAATCTACTTATAGGCAAAATATGAAAGACTTCGTTATTAGGGTAGAAGAAAGTGTTCATGATTTTCACAGGGCCGAAAAAGAAGGCAAAGCTGCTGTGTCTGAGACGGGGCACGCGCTGGGTGGAAGAGAGGGGCGTTGCTGCCCTCTCTGGGGTGGGAGGGGCAGGCAGGCGCTGTCCCCAGCCGGAGACCAGCAAAGGCCTAAATGTGACCGAGCACCCACAGGGGCGGTGGCCCCTGGGACTGGTGGGGAGGCCACAGCCGCCCAGCTGGTGTGTGGGGGTGAAGGCGGCCACCAGGACAGCTGGCAGCTCCAGTGGGGGAGACGGCCTTCATTCTAGACCCTTCCGTACTATTTGATTTTTAAAAGTAGGTGTATATATTAACTTCGATCCGTTTAAAAATGTTTTAAAGCAAGAAACTTACTCTCCATATTTTAAAGGCAAATTCACCTGAAGATGGACTGTGACCATTTCTGACTCAGTTCATGTTGAGCTAATGAGTTTTAAAAGCTGAAACTATTTGGGAACAGTAATTACCACATTGGAATGAAGATACTTAGTGTTCTTCACAAGATTTGGTAGTGAGTCTTCTTTTAAAAAAACTCATAGTAGATACAGATGTTAAGAAATGAAATAAATTAGGGCTCTGTAATGTTGGAAACAGAACTTTTTTGTTCCTGAATATAAAGCTTGTGTTTCCTCAGTTCTTCTTCCTGTTACATTTCTCTTTCCCCTCCATCTTCCAGAAGCCCTGCAGAGGCCAGTAGCATCTGACTTTGAGCCCCAAGGTCTGAGTGAAGCTGCTCGTTGGAACTCCAAGGAAAACCTCCTTGCCGGGCCCAGTGAAAATGACCCCAACCTTTTCGTTGCACTGTATGACTTCGTGGCCAGTGGTGACAACACTCTAAGCATCACCAAAGGTGAGAGGCCTGTGGGCATGGTAGGGCCGCAAGACACTGGCATCACGGAGGTACACCTCCACTAGCCTCCCCTTCGCAAATCAAGAGAGCAGCTTCAGCCAGGGATTTAGCTCAGTGGCACCACGCCTGCCTCACAAGCGCAGGGTCCTGAGTTCGATCCCCAGTACCAAGGAAGAAAAAAAAAAGAGAGCTGGTTCCAATTTCTTTTTGTTTGTTTGTTTCCTTTTTCTTTTTGGAGAGAGTAGGGAGTTTGAGACAGGGCTTTGTAATTCAGGCTCCCCTTGAATTCACTCTGTAGACCAGGTTGGCCTCAAACTCATGGTGATCTGAGCTGTGGGATTACAGCTGTGAGCCACCTCACCCGGCTCAGCTTTCTGGTTTTAAATGTAGAAAGGTCCAAAAAAACCAGCAGCCTCTTCTCTTAAGGAAGACTCCGGTATAGAAGTTTGCAATCCAGCGTCTGTGTTTTCATACCAAAGAGGACATGTAGACAGAATGCTGAAAACATGACTTTTTTTCCTCTTAGAAAAATCATTTTCTCCCAAAAGCCTTCCTTAAGTAGAAGCAGAGCACTTGAAAAAAAAAAATGGTAGGTTTATAAAAACAGAGCTGTGCACTTCTCTGTACATTCAGTACAAACAGGAAGCTTCGGGTATAAGTACACATTCTCAAAGGCTTATCAATGCATGTATTTATGTGGTTCCGTTAAAACCGGCATGTAGAAGTTTAAAGTATTTTAGTGATCTCACAGGAGCAGATGAGCAGGGAGGAAGCTGGTCTCTAAAGCTGGAATGTCTGTTTTGGTTCCTTTCCTCCAAGGTGAAAAGCTCCGGGTCTTGGGCTACAATCACAATGGGGAGTGGTGTGAAGCCCAAACCAAGAACGGCCAAGGATGGGTCCCGAGCAACTACATCACACCTGTCAACAGCCTGGAGAAGCATTCCTGGTACCACGGGCCTGTGTCCCGCAATGCCGCCGAGTACCTGCTGAGCAGCGGGATCAACGGCAGCTTCCTGGTGCGGGAGAGCGAGAGCAGCCCTGGCCAGCGCTCCATCTCACTGCGCTACGAGGGCCGGGTGTACCACTACAGGATCAACACCGCCTCCGATGGCAAGGTTGGTCCATAGGCTGTTGCAGCAAAGCTCCACCCAGGGTTTCATAATCACTGAGGGGACTGCAGGCGTCAGTTCATTAGCCTTACGAAGACCCTTTAGTGAGAACCCTTACTTGACCCTACAAGCCTCTGAGCCTCGCGTGGTTCTCTGATGTTTCTGCTGGAGTCGGCAGTGTCTTAACACACCAGGCCTGGCTGTTGGAGTTCAACTACTTCTTACATTAAGACTCCTCTTTTTTTTTAAGACTCCTCCTTTTTGAAACTTCCCTTGTAATGATGGTACTTCATCCTCAATGAGAAAAATTAAGGCAGATGAACACATTAGCACTTCCTACATAAGTCCAGCCTGTGGCCTTCTTCCTATGGATAAAATCATACTTTTAGGGTGTGTGTGTGTGCGGGCACGTGTATACATATGTAAGCACGCACAGTTATTAAAAGAGGGATCACTTTAACCCTGATATTTCCAAACCCAAATAGTTGTAAAGGAGTCAGCATAGAGGATTTTGTCTTTGTGTAGACAGCCTTAAAAGTCCAAGAAAGAAAGGGAGGAACTGATGTTTATTTACCAAGTTCATGTCGCATACAGGCACACCAGCAGTCCATCTTTAGACCCCACTCTGTCCTCTGGACAGGTATTGGTAGAATCTGCATTTTTACATTTAAAAAAGGGAGGGTTGGAGAGATGAAGCATCCTGCCCAAGATCACAGAGGGAGAAATTGAGGGGGACCAGGCTGGGACCCCACTGTCCGCACCACTGAGGGGCAGATATCTTGGTAGTCCGGATGGCACATGAATCTTTACATACTGTATCATGTGTACCTGGGGCCTTAAAAACCAACAGAACAAGATGAATCACGGTGAAAAACAGTTCTGCCCCTAACTCAGTTCTCTTGCCCTGTGGCAAGCACTGTCACCAGTTTCCTCCTGGTGCATTTCCTGGTAAATGTGACCTGGAATGTATCTGTTTCTCCTGAAAAGACTCATACCCGATGTTTGCTCCACACTGCCCTGCATCCAGCTGGCCGCACGCAATCCACTGCATTCATTTCCTGGACCCACCGGTGGCTCCTGCCCTGCAGTTTGGAAACACCCTGCTCTGCTTCTCTGTGTACAGTCTAAGCACATGCAAGATAAGTTGCTAGCGCTGGTTGTATGCTATTCACGGTTGTGTAAATATTGCCAAGTCTTCTCATCAAAGACCACATCTGATATCTCATAGACAACATAGGCGGTGCCTGCTTCCTCACCCTCACCAGGAGTGTCATCGGACTTGCCAGGGCATCTTTGTCACTGACTGATGAAGAAGACTATCTCATCATATCTAATACAGCATCCGTATGTCATTTATTCAGTTCGTCTTTGTCCTGTATATAGAAACACCACATTTCACAGGTGTTTGGACCTATTGGTCCTTTTTCTTTCTTTCTTTCTTTCTTTCTTTCTTTCTTTCTTTCTTTCTTTCTTTCTCTTTCTTTCTTTCTTTCTTTTTTAATTAATTTTATTGGTACATTTTAGGTATACAATATAATGACATTCATCATTGGAAATTTGCACCTTTACATAATCTCTCTTGGTGGTCCTTTCTCTTTCATTGAGCTGTTTCATCACATGCCAGTTCCATCTTGGAATTGGTGTACTCTATGCTGCATTCCAGTATCTGCTGGGCTAGTCTTTCTTCTTACCTATTTAGCACTTTCCTGGCTGGCCTCGAGCATTCCTCTGTACCATATGGACATGCATATGGTCCTATTGTAGATGATCTGCTCTGCTCTTGTGTCTCTGGGCTCTGCGTCCTTGCAGTGTCTGCAGCGCCAGTGCTGTGCTTTGTGCACAGAAGCGTAGCCTATTGTTGAAGTGCAGCAAGAGAGGCCCTTGCCTCTGTGGCTTGCAGTTTGGGTTGTTCCCCCAGATGCAGAGCTAGGTCTTTCCATTCTGTGGGACGACGCCAGGGCGGTGGCCTTTTGAAAGAGTTCAGACGGCAGGGTGCCTTTTTTTTAGTAACACAGACATGAGGGTGTACCACACCTGGGAGGTGATTTTCTGGAGCTGACAGCTTGCTTCCCATCTGTGCTCTTTATCCCCACCAAGTCATGCTGCACCAAGATAATCGCTGGAGATTCACACTGAACAGGATAATGGTGTCTTTCCTCGGAGTTGTTTAATCAGCAGCCTCGGAACAGATGCAGGCAGGCATGATCTAGTTTGACAACTCATTAGCTGGGGTTGGTCTAAAATGCTGTGCAGAGAGGGAAAGAAAAGGCCACATGTGGGATGCATGACTTAGGGAATTTGAGATTCATTTAGAGAAGCAGCAGACGGGATGTGGTGGCTCACACCGATAATCCCAGCACTCGGGGAGATTGAGGCAGGAGGATGACGAGTTTGAGCCCAGGCTGGACAATTCAGTGACATGGCGAGACCCTGTCTCAAAAAAATGAAAAGGGCTAGGGACATAGCTCAGTGCGAAGGCCATGGAGTCAGTTCCCCATACCATACACAGAAAGGGAGGGGGAGAAGGGGAAGGGGGAGGGGGAAGAAGGAAGGAAAAGCCAGCCCCTCTGTCTGAAGGGGTCCTTCTGTTGCAGGTGGTGCACAGGGCTCATTTGACCAGCAGCACCCCCAGCAGACTTGCCCAGGCATCTCGCCTGCCCGCCCCTCCCTGGAATAGACACCCATCAGCTGTCCGAGCACTGGAGACTCCTCTGCCCTCTGTGGGGGCTCCTGTCTGGGAGGGCCGTGCTTGAGGGGCTGTAGCAGGTGGGATCATGTCCCTGGAATGAGGGAACATCGTCAGGATGGGGCTCAGCATCGAAGAATGCATCTCACATAGCAGAGTTTTGATGCAATCCTTTTTGGATTTCTAAGGGGAAAATTTAAGATTGCTAGGAGGGACAGGCTGGGGTTGGCTAAGTTTACTTCTTATTTTCAAATCAGCTAATCTTTAGAAAACAACTGAATGTGGAAGATTCTTCTGCAGGGCCCCAAAGGATTCTATTCTGCCTCCACCCTCCTGGCTCTTACCTCTCTCTTGTTCTGAGCTTTTCAGCAGTGGTCATGGCCAGTTAGCCAGGGCCACCAGCCTCTGACCCCAAGCTGGGGATTCTGGATCTTTGAGCTGGACTCTTACAAGTGCCATTTACTAGCAGTCTGGTGGGTAGATAAGAAATCTAGGACACGGTTGTCTTTCTTCCTGTGCTTTCACTAACATCACAGAATTAAGACTGATGTTCCCCACCACCCCGCCTCACTCCTCTGAGCTCTGCTTACTTGTGTCCATGACTTGCCCATTTCTGTGAAGTGTTGCTGCTGAGCCCACAGTCCCTGAGAGCCCTTGTGTACCAGTCAGCTTTCCTAGTGCAGGACAAAAATCCTTAAAGGAGGAGAGGTTTGATTGGGCTCATGGTTTCAGAGGTTGCAGTCCATGGTTGGCTGGCTCCATGGAAATATCACAGCAGAAGGGCATAGCGGAGCATAGCTGCTCAGTTCTTGGCTGCTGGGAAACAGACCTTGGGCAGAGCACCAGAAAGAGATGCACCCACAGTGACCCACCTCCTCTAGCTGACAGCACATCAGCTTGAGCTAATCCATAGATGGGCATAGTGCCTGCATGATCCAGTCCCCCTCTAGGAGCCTCTTTATCCATCAGGTTGACTGTCAAGCTTCACTGGCAGTCCGCCAGTCTCCTTTTCTTTTCGAGATGCCCAGTGGACACTCATTTTCACAGTCTGCTGAAGTGACAGGTGCAGGTTGACAAGAGTAGAATTGGGGAATAGGATTTGGCAGAGGTGGCAGGAAGGGCTGACTGTGGGTGGGTGGAGCATCTCAAATTTCTCAGATCTGCCAGCCCCAGAGTGGCCCCAGCCCAGGCCTGCTAACTAGCTTGAGCAGCTCAGGGCCCTCATGCCCTGGCCTCCGCCCATGAGCAGTGTGTCAGAGGTGACACTCCAGGGTCTACTTCAGCCAGAGGGTGCACAAGTGAGTCCACTAAGCCCGTGCATGTGGCAGTTAGGAGGAAAACCAGCTCTGGAGTTTGTTTGACAAGTGCTATTTTTCAAGCTCATGATTAATGAGGAAGAAGCAGCAGCCCTGGCCATGCACCCCATTAATGGAACTGGGTGTATAGCACAGTGAAGTGCTGTTCGTTCACAGCACTAACTTCACTGTCGTTTCTGAACATGCTGTGGATTCCTCACCATTACCCAGTTGTTCACAGTAAAATGCTGCTCAAAAACCAGAACTAATCACCAGAGTAGATGGTTAGTGGGAGGGATGTGGGAATATGACTGAATTCAGTATACAGTGCCCTTGAGGGAGGGAGGGTTTAACAGGGTCTTACTATGTAGCTCAGGCTGGCCTTCTGAAGTACAGAGATCCTTCTTCCTCAGCCTTCTTTGTGCTAGGATTACAGGTGTGTGCTGCCATAACTGGCAGAAATTTTTTAATAGACTTTTTTTTTTTGGTACCAGGGATCAAACTCGAGACCTTGTGCTTGTGAGGCAGGCAGCATAACCACTGAGCTAAATCCCTGGCCCCGCTGAGGTAAATCCCCAGCCCGAGAAGTTAACAAGTTGTTTTTGTTTTGTTTTATACCAGGGATCAAACTCAGGACCTTGTGCTTGCGAGGCAGGCTGTGGAACCACTGAGTTAAATCCTCGGCCTAATAGACTTTTTATTGGTACATATCTGAGCCAAATAAGGAATACATTCATCATAGCCAGTTAGGGTGTATATGAGATATATATATATATCATCGTCCTTTTTACTTCTACAAAAGGTCTGCCTCCCTGTTTTATATCATCTGTCTTTTATTTTGCTCTTTGAATTTTTTGTTTTTGTTTTTTGTTTTTGTTTTTTTTTGATACCAGGGATGGAATGCGAACCTTGCGCTTGCGAGGCAGGTGGCAGAACCACTGAGCTAAATCCCTGGCCCTCTTTAAATTATTTGTACTTTGAGTTTCTCATATGAGAGAAACCATGTGATATTTAACTTTCTGTGT